CACTGCAATGAAGAGTAGCCCCCGCTCACTGCAACTAGGGAAAGCCCACGCACAGCAAGACTCAACACAGCCAATAAATAAATAAATCAATTAAAAAAAAAAAAAGAGGGGGTACCTAATGTAGCCCAGGATGATCTGCAAAGTTATTCTGAAGGATTCTGAGAAGGAAGAGGCCTGAATTGAGCCTGGAAGAATACGTAGGAGAAAGCCAGGCAAAGAAAGGGAGAGAAGCACCTTTCTCACAAAGGGAAAAATATGGGTCAAGACACATGGTTGTAGAAGAAGGCAGCAGCAAGTACTGAAGGATGTCAATGTGCTGGCAACGATCAGATGGCCCTTAAGCTGGCAACTGGGAGTCCTTGAAGGAGAAGCTAATTGGGTAGAATGATAAGATTTAATTTTAGAAAGGTCGTACAATTTCTGAAATCAGGCTGAGAGCTAATGAGGGCCTGAACTAAAGTGGAAATGAGGATGAGTAAGAGGGGCCAATTGGAGTGATATTGAGGAGACAGAAAGGACAGGACTGGGGATGGGGTGGACATGGAGGTAAGAGATGTGGAAGTCCAGCATGACCCCCAAATTTCAGGTGTGGTACCATTTACAAGTCAGGGAAGGCAAGGGGAAATTTGTGGGATGAGATAGAAAGTCAATTTTGGACGCATCTTTGTGTCATACAAATGTTTTCATTTATAAAAGTAGTATACATGTCTCTTACCAAAAAATTGTAGAAGAGAGAGAAGTATGAAATGTCCATCCAACCAGTGTTAAACTTTGGATGGAGCTTCGTTTTGTTTTGTTTTGTTTTGTTTTGGCTGTGCTGCGTGGCTTGCGGGATCTCAGTTCCCTGACCAGGGACTGAACCCCAGCCACATCAGTGAAAGCCCGCAATCCTAACCACTAGGCCACCAGGGAACTCCCATTTTTTGGGAGGGAGTGGAGTTTTTTCCAATTTGTTCTATGTGGAAAATTATGCATTTAAAAAATACAATCAGTGGGATGAATTGGGAGATTGGGATTGACATATACACACAAATATATATAAAATAGATAACTAATGAGAACCTGCTGTAGAGCACAGGGAACTCTACTTCACTTTGCTGTACAGTAGAAAGTAACACAACATTGTAAAACAACTATACCCAATAAAAAAAAATGCAATCACCAAATTGGGGTGCTTTATAGATGTTTTTTTCCCCACTTCGTAATATATTTTTAAACATCTCTCTGTGTCATTGAACATCCTTTTACATTTTTATTGACTGCACAATATCTCACTCTATGGAAGAACCATAATTTACTCCACCATCTCTATTGTTTAGATTGCTTCGAGATTCTCATTTCTAGCAAATCATGTGTAATGCCATCACAGGTTGAGTCTTCCAGAAACTGACAGAAATGCCACTTGAAACATAAGATATTTATTAGGGATTGACCCCAGGGAAGTGAAGAGGGAAGGAACAGCAATGGGCAAGGGAGAAGTTGAACTATGACAGAGGCTGACTGCTTCAACAGACCTCATATCTACAGAAAGGGCCCATCAGAGTTGTCCTGAATTGGGTGGAAATGACTGGGCTTTTATAACCTCAAGTCACTCAGTCACCAGACAAGGGCTGCTCTGGCAGGGCCATGACCTCAGGTGAGGCTGCACTCTGTGGCTGAGGTAGACTTCCAAAGGGAGGTTTGGCCAGGGCATCTCTGTGTCCACTGCAGATGCTCATTGTGTGCATATATCTTCACTCATATCCTTAGGATAAATTCCCAGAAGTAGGATTGCTGCAGTAGAACGTGGGCATTTTAAAAACTTTGAATATTTACTGCCAAATTACCTTCCAGAAAGATGGGTCACTTTCTCCTACCAAGAGTTCAGTTCATCACTAATATATAAGAACGTGACAATTGTACTGTTTTATGTTTTTAAATATTGAAAGGCACCTCAAATTCTTTGGGAAAATAAATAATATCTGTGATGTTTTGTTATTGTGAATTTCATTTTTAACTCCTAAGGCAGATTACCTTTCTCTATAGAGCTGTATAAATCTTTCCAAAAGGATAAAACACTCTAATGACTGATGGTAAGACACAAAGAACCGGATTTCGGTCTCGTGAGTTGCAAATCTGCAACGCTAAAGTGACAGAAATGGCTGGTGCTTGAGCTGACTTGAAACAGAATTTGCAGTACCCTATAGCTCTTTCCCTGTGAGTATTTGAGCAAATAAATGAAATTCCCACTTATTAGGAAAAATCCATATTTGACACACTACTGTTAGAGAGAGACGAACGGGAAATAACCATCATTTATTAAGTGCCTGCTCCATGCCAAGCAATGCCCTTGGCTTTTACATACACCATCACATTTAATTCTCACAAGAACCCTTTGAAGTAGTTATTATCACCACATTTTTCAGGTGAGGAAATTGAAGCTCACAGAATTTGGTAACTTGGTAACCTTAGTCATACAGGTTCCCAAGCCTGTGCACTTCTTGCCATCCTGGGCTGCTGCCCCCAAAGCTGTAAGTCAAGTGACACAGCAGTAGCTTTAAATGGTGTAGTATATATATATATATAACAACTGTAGTAACAATAACTCTCATGAAGCTTGCAGAATGTCTGTCTTTCTACTGGGTTGGAAGTCCATAGGATTCACTATCTAAAATTTTTAAATTTTTGTAACACTTATGATACCCAGCACATTACACATATAATGTGCTCACTAAATATTTAATAGAACAGGTCTTAAATAGGCGGAAAGCAATTTCTTCCTAGTTTCGTTTATCCTTTCATCCTCATTTTGGGTTTGTCCTGATCATGGTGTCGTCAGGAGGCAAAGAGATGATCCAGTCGACGGTTTCCCACTTTAGCAGGAACAACTGTGAGCTCTTCTGAACAGACCCACTGATTACAGACAACGCCAGTGAAAAAAGGGTTGGATGAAAATAAACATAACAGATTCCTCTAGAAGTCACCCCAATCGGGAAGGATGATGGTGAAATCTTTATTCAGAAGTGTAAATGAGTTTAATCCAGCCTTTAGATCTAACTTCTAGGTAACAGGAAATAGTGAGGGAAGAGAAATATGTTGAACACACCACAAAGAAGCCATAAGACAAATCTAGAAGTCTGCCTTGTTTCTTTTTAAGAAGATAATGTCATTCGAAAAAGGGGGAGGGGGTAGAGTGGGAGAGAAGGAGGAGGCTATTCTAGGCTAAAAAAAAAAAGAGGTAACTGAACGCAATGTGTGGTTATTGTTTGAATTCTGGTCTAAGTCAGCTGTAAAAGACATTTTGGAATCCATTGTAGGAATTTGAATCTGGACTGGGCATATGTTAATACTAAGTAATTAAGGTTAGCTTTAGTTAGGTGTGAAAATGGTAATATAGTTATGTAGAAAAGCGTTCTTTAAAGAACACGATGTATATTATAATACTTAGAGAGGAAATATCTTTTTTTAAAAAAAATATTTTATTTATTTATTTTTGTCTGCGTTGGGTCTTCTTTGCCGCGCGCGGGCTTTCTCTAGTTGTGGCGAGCGGGGGCTACTCTTGGTTACGGTGCACAGGCTTCTCATTGCGGTGGCTTCTCTTGTTGCGGAGCACGGGCTCTAGGCGCGCGGGCTTCAGTAGTTGTGGCATGTGGGCTCAGTTGCTCCACGGCATGGGGTATCTTCCTGGACCAGGGCTCGAACCCGTGTCCCCTGCATTGGCAGGCGGACTCCCAACGACTGCGCCACCAGGGAAGCCCTGAAATATCTATTTTTAAGTAGGAAATATGTGTATTTTCAGCAGAAAATGTGATGAGGTAAATAAGGCAAAACTAGGTTTTAGCTATCCATTATACTAGTCTCTCTGCTCTTTGACGTCGTTTTGCATCATAAAGAGGATCAACCGGGGGGAAAAAAAAAAAAGGGATGGCTTCCTTTACCGGAGTAAGAATCGATCTTTATCTTCTTCTAACAGTGACAACATCAACGTGTGGGCCCGGATAGGGCTTCAGGAGCATGAAGCGAAATTCCAGGGAGCCTAGACAGACGAGCAGGTTCCTTTCCGGAGATCTGATTTCTGTGGGAAAAGAACCCGCGTAAGGCAACCCTTGAGCCTCCGACCCTCCAGTCCTGCGCACCTACCCAGTCCTCCTGCGGATGGTGAATAACCCGTCAGCTTACTGCTCCCTAAGTGTTCCCAGACCACGCAGGGTGGCGGGTGTGACGCTCAGGGTGAGGGCGGGAGAATGCTGGGTTCCCCTCCTCTCCGACCCTTCGCGGAGGGATGGGGCTTGAGTGGCAGGTATCTTCCACCTCACCCACCTGGAAGCGAAGCGGAGAGGGTCTGGCCCAGGCTGGGGGAAATGGGCCGCACATGCCAAGGCCACTACCCTCACCTGCCGCCAGGAGAGCTCTGGCCGCGGCAGGGGGCGGAGACCCGGGAGTGCGGACGTCCTCACCTGGCGGCGGGGCGGGCGCGCAGCGGACTCCGCCGGAGACGGAGCGGCGCGCTGCGAAGTCGGGCCGCAGGTGAGGGCGGCGGGCTGGGCCGCGCTCCACCGCGGGGGACGTTTCTTGGCTGGGAAAGGTGCAGTTGTGAGCAGCTATTCCTGGTATGTCAGGCGGGCCGGGCGGCCGCGAGCCCTGGGGGCGCCTCTTCCTGGGGCCCCGGCAGAGGGAAGGCGGCCAGGCGGCCGGAGGCGGGAAGGATGCGGACAGGATGCGGGCGCGGGGGCGCATCTCCTCCGGGCGGGGCCGCGGTCCGGCGGGTGGCGCGGGAGCGGGTGCGTGGCCCGGGCCACGGCCTCCTGGCGGACGGTGGCATCCCCTGGGCCAGACTGTCCTACCACAAAGGCCGCTGCGGCCGGGAGCCCCCGGGCGCGGCCGGGGGTAGGGTGGGGAGGACGGAAGCGGCGGCTGGGCGGCCGGGGGTGGGCGGCGGGGGTGTGCGGGGGCGGGGCATTCCGGGAGGGCGGCGGCCGCGCAGCCACTTTTGAAGTCCAAACAGTCCTCTGGGCTGGTGCTGCGCGCCGCCTCTGGTCGCCCTCTCCGCCTCCCGCGCTGTGCCTGGGTCTCCGCGGCGTTTTCAGGAGTTTAGAGAAAGCCCCGGCTTCAAGTTCTCTTGGGTTCGAAACTTTACCGAACTGCAGGGCGCAACAAAGGGTCAGAGAGTCCGGGCGTCTTGCAGCCGGAGAGAGGCCGGAGCAGCGGGCCGGACGCGCGCGGCACTCCCGCCTTTCCGCGCACCCACTATGTCTCTCTCTCCCCCTCTCCCCCTAGTTCTGGAAGTGATGGAGGAGGCGGAGGCCGACTGCGCCCTAGCGTTCGCCGAGGCCCAGAGATGGGTGGAGGTGAGTGCCTTTACTCCTCTTCTTTCCACAAGAGTTGGCGGCCTTGTGGCCGCTCCCGCCACTCTGCTTTCAGCCGCCTCCCGGACCTTAGCTTGCGCAGCGCCTCAGGCTGGTTCGCTCAGCAGTTTGGGGGACTTTGCAAGTTCTGCGCCTCCTATGATTTAACGTCTAGTGAAGCTTTGCGCTGCCCTCCCCCCCGACGGTCTCGCTGTCTTCCCCGGAGCTTCTCTGCCAGGACAGAGTCGAGAGCTTGGCCCCGCGGGTTTGGGGACCGCGCATCTCTGTGGAGCAGCCCACGTCCGCGCCAGGACGCCTGGGATGTACCTGCTGGGCAGAGACGGCCCAGGCTCCTCGGGAGCGTTTATTTGGGGTGGCTAGAAGTGTAAATGCCTGAAACATACCTGCTTGGGCAGCGTATTGTGTGTTGTGTGGGAGGGCGGATGGAGGAGGTTAGACACCTGTGGCGCACCTGGAGAGATGCTTTCTCCGAGGCAGCTTCTGGAGCCCAGAGTGTGTGAGTCAAGGCGCGTACGTTTTCCAAAGTCGGCATTGATAAGACTAAGATATCCTGAAATCACTTACTCAAGGGTTGTTAGTTTCCCAGCTGTGCCTCAGGGAGGAGATCTTCCATTCCCCTCTTTGGCGTTAAAAAGGAGATGGTCTCTTGGAAGTTCCTTGATCAACGCATTAGGGTTACGTTTGTCTGTAGAAAGTTAACACCAGGACTTCTAGCCGTTTTATTATTGGATGAAAAAGATGACTTTTATAATGATGCTAAAGAAGTCTTCGGAGCAAATGTGAATCAGGAACCGAAAGTATTGCGTTTACCAGCCTTGCAGTCATTTAAGGGTTATTGATGCCACGTGCTGGTCTACTCAGTATTTAAAAATTCAAATTAGGATTAAAGGTTATTCCATGGAAAAACAAAATATTCAAGAATCCCAAAGCAAACAGTACTTTAAAACAATTCATTTCTCCTTAAAGAAGTAAATTATGTATGTGGGGAAAAAAAAGATAAACTTTAAATGTTATGTTTTTCACGCTAAAGGAAAGTGAATGTATCATTACCCACTAGACAGTGGCGGGAGATGGAGATGGGGGGCGTCTAAGAAATTAGCTTTGCCGTCTTTTTGTACTGAAACTTGAGCTGGTTTGAAGGTGACTTAGAACGGGGTGAGGGGAGCGCGTGGGGAGGTTGGGAGAAGAATAAACACTGTATTCTGAATTGAAACGAGAGTGGAAAAATTCCAGCAATGTAGTTAAGGGAAATAACTTCCCCCATTCATAAACCTTGAGAAGTCAAGGCTTCCAAAGGTAATTTTCCATTAGCAGTATGTATACTGCATAATTTTAGAAATCAAACTTGCCCTTCTGTGTTTGAATGGTGAGATGGAGAGAGGGAGAAGGGAAGAAATATGGGGATACTTTTTTGGCCATACAGGGTTCCTGTGTGGAGTTTGTATCTGCAAGTTCTGTATTTGCTTCAGGGAATCTGTGAATATGGATGATTTCACATCCTTTCCTTTTTCAGTATACAGATTTTTGAAATCTAAACTTTTTTTGTGTGTGATAGCTTGCTTATAATTGGAGACTTCTGTGAGAAATTTGTATCTAATAAACTCTGGGGAGGTGTGTTGTGATAAAAGATACCCCGTGTGCACGGTAAATGTGCTCATCTTCCCACCACCATCCCACTCCACCTAAAAGTGTTTGTCAGCAATGATTTGGCAACTCTGTAGAGTGCTTTGTTCATCATTAGCAGAAAGCCAAATCTTTCTAAAGGCTTTGCCATATAATTTTAATATGGTTAACTCTTATGAAATTAAAATCAAGTGGCTTTTTTCCCCTAGTGCCACAGGGAGCAAGGCAGTACGTTCATTGAAGATATGTGAATACATATTCACATATACTTTTGGTATACTTGGGACATTGAAGTGACAGCATTGTGTTCACTGTTAGGTTTATGTTATTTCTCCAGTTAGTGTCCAAATTTATCTGCCTCCTTAGCTTTGCCTTTATAACCAGAGCACGTATTTTAAAATATCACTCTTGCCAAAAGAAGCAGAGTGAATGAGTGTCTCATTCCGCAACCACTTAACCCTGAGAACCGCTAATTTGAGGATAAAATATTGATTCCAAAGTGTATTTATAAACTACTTTGGAAAGCAAGGAAGATTATAGTGTAAATCTTTCTCCTGATTACTAATAGTTTTGCTCCATTTTTCCACTTCTATCATACTTTCTTCTACATACATTGAAGCATGAGTGGTTCATTCATATATATATATATTTTTATATATACACAGTACACGTATATAAACATATATGTATTATACTATGTGAATTATATCATTCATATATATGTATTTATATATACATATAACACAAATAAATACATTAATGTATTACATACTATAATCTATTATATGTATTGTATGTAATATGCATATAATATCATCTGCTACCTTTATTCTCAGCTGCAGCTTTGACCAATCCAAGGTCAGAAAACTCCGATAACCTTGTAAATCTTTGAAAGATGACCAGAGTCCATGGGCGTATGTCTTTGCCATTTCCATTCTCCATCAGCGATTTTAAATAACTAATGTATTATTCCCACAACCAAAGTTAAAGTCTTAAATTTGTTTTGTTTTGGGAGGAGGGGAAAGGGTAAAGGTGAGGGCTAGTGCTTGTTATTCTGCCAATTATTGTCATTTCATGACTCTTTTTGTTTATTTCAAAGTGTTTCTTCGATATTTAAAAGTGTCCATATACTTCTGATTAGTTTCATATTTGACATCAAAACAAATGTAGGAACATAACCTTTTAAGGTAATTCAACATCATGATATTGGATTATTATCTGGTTGGAAATGTGGTTTGGAATATTAATAATGTATTGAGCTAGTTTATGATTAAACACGGGTTGAAAGCCAAATAATGTAATGGTTTGAAGGCAGAGGCAGAGGGGAAGCTTGATTCTAGCAAGGTCATGGAGTGGGAGAGGAACTGGTAGAAAATGCAGCCTGGACCCTCTAATTTTAGTCCTTTTCTTCAGCACCTTTTAATTTTCTGTACCTAATAGTTGCCTCTGTCCCTCTGTTTATGGAGCATTTAAAAACCTGTGATAAACAGAGAAGATACCAATGAAATTGAAAACTGAGTATATTGCTCATTGCATTGGTTGGTCACCCATTCCAGTCTGTGACTTAATGTTCCTATCTAGGTTGAGGTTTAAACACAGTAGTAATTTTTATGACTGGAGCAGATCAGGCTAACATAATTCAACACCTTCCTGCTCACCTGCCCGTCCTGTTATCTCTGTGTTCGAAGTTTTCAGTATCACTGTCACCCTGTAGAAGGACCAAAGGGATGCCAACTTGAGCTCATTGCCATGCCTGGCACCAGAATATGAATCCTTCCCCAGTTACTTCCAACTGGTCTGTTTCTCCACCTGCCCCATTTTTGTCCTTTGGGAGTTGTGTGCTGGTCATCACTTTTGTTTGCGTTTAGTGCTAAGTTTTTAAAGAATCGCACTCTGTGGGTCCCCCATTGATATTTACAAAATTCCCCTAAGTGGTTTCCCTCTTTCTCTGTAAACTGCATCCCTTCTACTGGTGGTTTCCAACCTGTGGTCTGGCGTGAAAAGGTTTGCTGGGTGCACTTGAATCCTCAGTGCATACCAGTGTTGTCAGTAGACTAAATGAGGGTCTTATGATTTGTACTGTTGCTTTTCAAATGGATGTAGAGCGACGTAAACAGACAAGATACCAATGCATTTGAAAATGTTACTGAATTCATAGAAGCATTTCTGGTAATTATATATAATTTCAATTAACGGATATTAAGCTTGAAAAGACTCTGATGGTAAAACTTCGTTTAAAATTTTAAATGTTAGAAAGCAATTCTTACACTAGCTGTTGCAATTAAAATTAGTTTTTCAGAATATAAACCTGATTTTGTTTTTTGTTTTCTGAGGAGCCATGAAAAGATTTTAAAAGTCCGCATTTACATTAAGCTGTGAAGTGTAGCATTCACAACCCTTTACAATCTGGTCTCCGTCTGTATATCTATCTTTATTTTTTGCTCATTTTCTCCATTACTATTTGCATAGTTGCCAGATAGCATAGACATTAAAAGCACAGATTTGTACAGATATCCCCAGAACTTATTTATCTTATAACTAGAAGTTTGTACCTTTTGACCACCTTCATCCAATTCATGATGACTGCAATTAACACTGCTGTACAGTATATTTGAAAGTTACTAAGAGAGTAAATCTTAAAAGTTCTCATTACAAGGAAAAAAGTTTTTTGTAACTATATGAGGAGACGGATGTTGACTGAGCTTACTGTGGTAAACATCTCACAATATATGTCAAATTGTTAGGTGGTACACCTTTAACTCATACCAAGCTGTGTGCCAATTAAATCTCAATAAAGCTGAAAAAAACCCCAAAGCACCGTTTTGGAATCAAATCATTGTTCAAGTCCTGGCTCAGCTTCTTAAATGCTGTAGGCCTCAGTCAGTGTTCTTCCTTGAGCCTCCCGTGGTGCTTTCGCCAGTTGAATGAGATGCTGACTGTAAAGGAATTAGTGCTCCCTAATCCTTGCTTGTGTTTCCCCGCCCCACACAGGGTGCTGTTTTCTCACCTCCAGGCTGTTGTGTGTGGAATGCCTGCTATTCCTTGTTTACCTAATATGTGTTGCTCCTCTGCATTCTTCATGCTTGGGCTCTACAGTCAAGCTTTATGGGAAGCCTTTTCTCGGCCACCAAGCCTCCACCCCACCCATTCCTTCCTTATCACTATTGGTTGTATGGATTTTTCTTTTTTGCTCTCTGTGGTATAATTACAAACATTCTTCTGTATTAGACTAAGCGCTAACTGAGGGCAGGAACAATAGCTAGTCTTTTGCTTGAGGATTTGGCACAGTTCCAGGTAAACACTTGTTGAGTGAATGTACAATCCTAAGGCTGGGGCTTTAATGAAACCTAAGGACCAGG